TATTTCCAAGTCATGTTTTATTTAAATAAGATATAAAATGAGTTTATTGTATTTAAAAGCCATTAAGAGGAGCTTCAACTTAAAAATACCTCCCTGCAAAGGCAAAATTTGTACGTTTCATAGAAATTATTGGAACCTATATTTTCAGGCTTTCATATTTATATTAAACATTACATATATTTGTATAGATTTGTACTAGAAATTGAATTTTCTCACAAATTATATATATATATATATATATATTATTGTACTCATATATAGGATCTTTTGAATTAATTTATTAAGATAGGAATCTGACAAACCTAACAGCAAAGCCAAGAAAGTTGCTTCTTTTCTCAAACAAGTTAGAAAATAGGGGTTAAACCAGGAACTTGATTCCATTTTCCTAAATTTAATTTTGTCAAAGCTTTATTTGAGTAGTAGCTGATGAATTCTAGAAAGTAATGTTAAATTTTAAGACACATTTACCTACAAATACACATTTTTGTTGATTATACAAGAATTATTTTATCTAATTTGTTTTTCTTTGCATATACCATAAAATTAAGTAAAAGCTCAAATTTAAAGTATTTACTGGATCAAGGGTATTAAAATATATGTATGAATATTTTAAAATTATTTTGCAATCCTTTACAACAAAAGAATTGTTATTCAAAACAAATGTGCTATGTAATGAACTACGAAAGACACCATTAAATCTCATAAACATCAGAAGGTAAAAATTCAGTGCAGAGAAGCCTGGCATACGGGGAAAGTATGTCCAGACTCGTGTTCACAGTGAAATGTGGTGAAGAATGAATGGAGGTAATTTCAGAGAATCAAACTTTCATTATTTTAGCAGTTTCACTCAAAATGCAAAAAGAAAGCACAGAAAGTACATATGTTAGAAGTTCATATCACGGGGCTGGGGATTTAGCTCAGCGGCATAAGCTCCTGCCTTGCAAGCAGGCAGTTGTGAGTTTGATCCCTGGTACTGATAAAAAACAAAAAAGACCAAAAACAAACAAACAAAGAAACAAAAAGTTCATATTACGTGATTAAAAATGAGAATGATAGTACAATAACTATATAGTTAATTGTATATTGAATATGTATGTGTTAATACAAAATTTATTTCTTCTAACTTGGCAGCTTAAACAGAAAACATACATCTGTGGGATATTTATTAAGACTCAGAAATTAGGAGTTAAAATACACAATGGATAGCAAAACGTACCCTAGTTTTCACTCTAGCTAAAAACAATTAAATAAATTCACTGGAAAAATTGCATAATTTCATATACAAGACCATGTCTTTGCAATATAAGTACGTATGAGTGAAGCAAAAATTCATACAAGTTACAGAGTTGCAAAATACATGTAGTTAAAATCAAATATCCATACTTGTTCATTTGTATTTGCCACTCCCTAAGAAACAGGTAGAGTAAATGATAGTTTTTTGAAAAATTTTCTAGAGAAACTTCATTTTTCTTATGAAAACAACGACATGATTCCATCAGCACTGTTTTTATTCTTAATTTTTGTTTTTCTTTGCTTTTTGATCTACACAAATTAACTAATTGTAGTAAAACCCATTGTTTGAGAGCCAGAAATAATTTAAAGTACCAACTTTTCAATAGTTTTATTGAAGAAAAAAGAAGTAAGAACAATATGGGACATGTTTTAAAAAATATTAATTAAAACTAAACAAAGAGTAATATACTTTAAAGAATTTTTGAATGCTATGAAAGGAAAATAAGCATAACAAAAGTGTGAAATATAAACAATAAACACATAAAATGATCTAAATTGAAGCAAGAAAAGCAAAGCTTTCACAAATAAGTAGGGGAAAGAGAGGTGAAGGGAAGGTAGGGAAATGGAAAAAAAACCAAGTGCTACTATGTGCAGGTACAAATTCCCAACAATGAATGTGATCTTTATGTACACCTAAAATGTACTAATAAACCTAATTCATACAAAACAAATTAATTTTAAAGCAAATTGAAATCTTTAAACTTCTCAAAAGGAAATGAATGACAGAAAATATCAGACCTATTTTTTTCTACAAACAATTATAGCATATTTTCTAAAAGCAGTTCCAGTAGTAAATGTACCATCTCAGTAATAGAGCTACTACAAAAACTGTAGTTTGTCTATGTCAAATACATTTTAGATTGTCTAATACTACAAAAAAGACCTCAATAATCTTCATAATACGTAGATGTATTTTTAAGTGACTTTAAGAGAAATCAATAGAAATAATAGCTGAGAGAATATTATTCACGAAAAAAATGGAATCACAGGCAGGCACAAATCACCTTTACTGTACATAATAATACTCTAAAGATCACTTGTCATTTTCTAGTGTGATACAGTAAGTCATGGCAGAATACTCAAATCACAGTGAGCTAAAGATTTTAGTCGAGGTGATTGGTAAAAGAAATACTAAGTGGAAAAAAGAAAGGACATAAGATTACTCACACACACAAACACACTGCACGCAATCTCTCCTCTAAACGATTAATCTGGAGTAAAATCTTCACGTGAGAACAAGACTCTCATAAGTGCATCAGGGAGCAGAGTTTAAAGGGCCAAACTAAAATATTTTGGTAGATACTGTTTTGTAAAAAGTGGTTAGAATGTTATGTCAACTGAGATTCTAAATTTCAGTTCAGACTCCAAAAATCATACAGACTAGAAATAAGTGTACCAAAACAGTTAACATCGGAAAAAAAAAATCATGTTTATAGGCTTGTATTTGATATTCCTAAAAGAAGCAAACATAACTCTTCAGGAGAAAGAATGCATAGCAAAAATTTCTACACATTTTCATATGTGATGACTGATAGGCACTAAAAGATTTTTTAAAAACTTCTCAATGTGATCCAGAAGAAAACCAGGCAATTTAAAATGAAAAAGATTAAACCTATGAGGGCCAGGGAGTTAGCTTAGCTGCATAAGCATATGCTTGGCAAATGCAAGGTTGTGAGTTCGATCCCCAGTAGCAAAAAAAAAAAAAGAGAGAGAGAGAGAGAGAGAGAGAGACAGAGAGAGACAGAGAGAGAGAAAGAGATTAAACCTGTGACAAACAAGAGGACTCAGAAATGATTTGGGTGTTGTTGTAACCGAATCAAAAAATCTACAATAGCTATGTTAATTATGTCCAAATGAATGAAAAAAAATTTGAACTATTTTAAGAAAAAACTCAAATTTTTCAAAAGTAAATATCTGACAGGTCTGTTGGACAGTAGCCTTTTTTTAATCTATCCTGGTGGGAAGTCACAAGGTATGCAATTATAAGTTTGTTAGTTGCTTTTCGTTGGTTGAGCCTCATTTCTGTTTTTCTATAAAGAAGGCATTTTAACATACTCCTTACATTTGCAAGCCTCTGAGCAAAGGTACAGTCACTTACAAGATCTAACTGACTTTGCTCAGTCTCCAGATCTCCTTTCCAACGATAACAAACTGCTGTCCTGTCCTAACACAAAGCCAGGAGGGATTAGGGAAGCCCTGGGGAATATGAGACCTCCTAGCTCCATTCTGGGATTTGGGAAAAGAGAAAGACCTTTTCCTTGGCAAAATGCGTGCCGCGGAGAGCTTTCTGGGTAAAACTTTTGGAGCAAAGAGCTGATGGAACAGGATAGGTCAGTGCTGTGGACCGAACGCGTCCCCCACAATTCTCACATTGAAACGCAGCCCACAATATGGTATTTGGAAGTGGGACCTTTGAGAGTTATTTGAGTCATGAAGATGGGGCTTCCATGAATGAATTAGGAACAAGGGAAAGGGAAGGGGGAAAGAAAAAAGGGAACATTTTAAAAAGTCACACAAGAAGGAAAAAATGGAAGCAAAGAGTTTGTAAATGAGAAAGAAAGGAAGGGATGAAAGGAGAACGGGAAAATGTAATGTAAATAAAGCTTTATAGATAAGGAAGGGAAGAGTGTTGTTGAAGGAAGGAGAGAGCATTGGGAAAAAAGAGGACTCCAAATATATTATTTACAGGTACAAATTCTCTGTGATGAATATGACCATTATGTATATCTAAAATGTACCAATAAACTTTATTTAAAAATCAAAAAAGCGTTTTAAAAATTTAAAAATTTTCAAAAATTTAAAAATGAAACATTTGAAAAGCAATTTCAAAACAAATAAAACTTTAAAAATTATAATTAACAATTAAGAAATAAATATTTTGAAGCAAGTATTTGGTTACATGTGGGACATATGAAAGTGACACTGTAAGATTATAAAGGAGATGAAACTTTTCTATCTTGTAGTCACGTTGTAGCTGCCCCTGTGCTGTAATACAGTGTATTCCTCTCCTGCTTGTAGTACTGTTATAAACACCCATAACAGTCAAATGCAAGTACAGCAAGTGCAATTATGTACAGTGCATAATACTTGGTAATAAACTATGTGTTTCTGGTTCACATTATTTATTATACTCTTCCTTTTATCATTGTTTTAGAATGTAACATTTTATTTAAAATGTTTGCTGTAAAATAACATGCTACATTACACAGGTGGCAACTTCACCTGTCTTTGATTGCATCAAGAAGCCCTGAAAAATGATTGAACTTTTCCTTCTGGCTTCGTGTAAGTACACAATAACACAATTGTCTAGCCATAAATTTCATAGAATGCATCCCTTCCATTAAATGGCAAATAGCTATATATAGTAAAACACGATTATGATACTGGAATATTTAAGCATAAATTCTTCAAATAGAAATAAAGAACAAAATAGAAAAATCAAATTAGACCAAGCAAAATGTAAGAGTTTTATAAGTGAAAATGACATTGCAAATCAATGTAGTTTATCAATATTGGTTTTAACTATCTATTAAAACAAAATCAACTCTCTTTTATCTCATTACTGACACAATTTTTTGTTAGAATCCTATCCTTAATGATGTAAGTCACTGCCAATGTTGGACTAAAAGAAAACATTAACAAAATTAACTTTCTGAGAGTCTCCAACACCTTTTTTCTTTTCTTTTCTTTTTTTTCTCTTAATGCAGTGAAAGACTGAGTTTCATGGAGAAAACAGAGCGTTTGCTAACAGGAGCCCGGATTCAGAGTGTCTGCGCAGAGTAATCTACCAACCAACCCACAAGGAACTGTAATGTAAGCAACAAAAATAAACTACTAATGGTTTAAGTCAGTGGGATTAGAGAAATATTTGTTATAACTCATAGCAAATACTGGTATATATGATATATATGTATGAAACTACTGTTACATGAACAGTTTTGTCACAATAAGCAAAGACAGTTTGATAGGATTTCTTCAAATATATGAAGAAAGGATAAATTCTGTGTGGGGATATCAAAAGTGATGAAGAGTCACTGTGTAAGTATGTCCTAGGGATCAACAGTTAGGAGTAAGAGATGACATTTGTTTTTATTCTTGGCCAGCCTTTATAAGTATAGTGATCATTGCATTCTTCAGCAATTTAAGAGGTGTTTGTCATATGCCAGCTCTGTGTTAGGCATAGTTATAACTTCTGGAAATAAATGAAGAGATGCAGAAGAGAAGGCTTGAAAGTCAAAACAGGCGAAGAAACAAAAATTGTCGCAAAATGAATCACTTTATATGTAATATAGCAAAAATATTGTGAAATACTAAAGTCAGGTAATTTGACAGAGAGTTATAGGAAACAGAGAGATACTCTTTTAGGTCAAATAAATATGAGTGATCTCCCTTGATTGTACAGAGGGCTGAGAAAATAAAGGGAAAAGCTGGATGACTGCTTTAGAAGAAGCACAGTCCAGAACCCTAAAAAACACTGCAGGAGTCCTAAGTCCAGAGAGAGACTCTCCTTGTAGTCTTTTAACTTACCACCAGTCAGCTGGATATGCACACCCAGGAATCTGAACCTGAAACCAGTAACACAGAGGAAGATAGGCAACAGTGCAAAGGTAACAGTGCAACCTAGTATCTAGGGATACCGCTGTACTTCCGGTAATCAAGCAGCCTCTGATATGTCCCTCTGGCTGGGAGTCACACTTGCTAACACGTTTGCTCCTGATTTTTTCCATGAGATTTTCTGTGCTCTTCATATATATATATATTTTTCTATCTAAATTACAAAGAAGAGAGTTGCCTGGTTTACATTTAAAATTTTAAAATTTGTATCTTTTATGCTTTGTTCTAATAATTATACTATTATAAATCTATGGAGAATTATAAATGATTTGGCAAAACATTTTTTTACAATGTATGTGTATCACATTTGTTATGCAAACACTTAAAAGGTAGAGGCAAAACAGGACAGTATCAAAGTTGTAATAATAATAAAAGAAGTTATGGAAATTTTATCAGAAATCTCACCAAAGAAGTGAATTTTATGTAAAAATTATGCTTAATTATGATACAGCTGCAAACACAGCAAATATAAACATAAGATGACTATTTTGGATCTCAGCAAAAAGGTTTAATTAGAAAACACTTTCAGATTAAGACATCCTGTATCTTTATACAAAGCATATAATTACCTATTATCTGGTTATGACTCAAGTGAATAATCAATAAATAATAAATGACAGGAAACCAGATCAAGCATGAATCTGTTACAGTAATTATAATTGAGATTTAGCATGTGTGTTAGGTTAACTAATGGTCAATTTGTAACACCCAGATGAACTGAATCATCAAGGTGCTGGGTGTAGAAGGCTCACCTGCAGATTGTTGCCAATAGTAGAAAAAGAGAATTAGAAGAACAGATGGTGTGCAGCTGATCCCTCTTGAGAAGCTTGTAACACTATCTTTTTCTGATATAAACTCAGATCTTCTCATCATCAGAGGATCTCACTATTACTAAGAGTTACTGTAGTTCTTTTCAGGCAAGCTCTGGTCCTTACCTTGAGCTTCACTTCCTGGCCCAGTGCAGATCACCTAAGCTATTTGTACAGATCCTTTATCCCACTGGCATAGACTTTCCAGCTTCTGCCACTGGCCTTGGAGTATTACCGGGGCAGGTCTTTGATACAAACTTGCATGTGGGCTCTGGGCCTCTAGGTGGACTCTTGAATGACATTGCCATGGGCTCTAGGGCTTCAGATGGACTCATGTAAGCCATTATTGTGGGGTCCAGGACCTCAGCTGGATTCCTTATGTCTCTAGTGTACAGATGGATCTGCAATCTTCTGCATTCAACCCTTTGTCCTGAGTTATATCTATTCACGGTAAACCCTGATCACATCAGCATTTCTTTCTTGTGTTCTATCAGAAGTAATGATATATAGACTGCACATAATTTTCAAGTGTGAAGTATAGAACTGGTCAGAAAGAATTGTTTTAAATTTCATTATTTCAAAACCCAAAGTCTGAGTCAAAACTCCTTATATGCCCATGAAAACAAAAAATGAGGGGACAACTAGGAAATCTTCTCAGGGGCCAGAATATTTATGAAATGGTGCTTTGGAACAAAATTGTTCTCATCCATTCCTGAAAAATAATAGAACAGATAATAGGATCTGTGTGAAAATTCAAAACTATGTTCACTCTTCGGACTGAATGAATGAATCATGTACTGAAAGACTGAGTATTTTTATTTGGTGAGGAGAAAATAACCAGTTTGGTTGATCTTTTTTTTGGGGGGGGTCTCTTTTTATTTTCTGCTGGAATCTAGTAGTAAAATATTTCAAAGAAAACTAATCAGTTTCTGAAGACAAAGTGAGAACTGTAAGCACTTCTAGAAACATTAATTTCACTAGAAAGACTAGAAGAAAAGCAGGCTAGCCTCCACAAGACACGTCTCATTTTCAACAGTAACATACTGATTTTTCTATGGACAAAGAAGTCACTGATAAGCTAAAGATATGAAGTAGAATCCACAAAAGCAAGATCTCTCAGTAAATCACTGGGTGCTTTCCAAACTATTACTCGATTCATTAATCATACTGACATTGGTTTTACAAAATGTCTGTGTTACAAAGAAAATACTGAAGTCCAAGAAGGTAAAACTATGTATAAAACGTTACCAATATGATATTAATGGTCATAGGTTAAAAATCAGGCAAAATTCTCAGCAGCTTAAGTGCCTGCTTTGCAAGCAGGCAGTCATGAGTTCGATCCCCGGTACCGATAAAAAGGAAAATGACAAAAAAAAAAAAAAAAAAAAAATCAGGCAAAATTAAATTTTAGTACTTAGAAATGAATATTTATAATGTTGTTTAAAATCAAATATTATAACAAAATTCACATTGGTAATTGACTCTGGGATTTTGGAAGAGGACTTGGTAAACACTCACATACAGACACACAGAAAATTCTGAGGCTATGATGATTTTCTAATTTAAATTTGAAGCTTGAGTAGTATTTCAACATTTTTAACCACTTAGATTAATATTTATGGATTTTTACACTACATGCTATCTCAAAGTAAAATAGATACAGGCATTGACCTAAGTCCAGACCTAGTACCGGATGGATATAGATACAAATATAAATACACACACACACACACACACACACACACACACACACACACACCCTTGAGGGGATATTATTTTGATCTGACTAGGGGATCCCTCATGAACTTTATGCAGAAAGTGATAGCATAAGATGTCTCTCTGGCCCTACTCTGACAATAGCATGAGGCAATATAGTGAGATCAAACCAGACAAGACGTAGACACTGCTGCAGTAGAAATGGATGCTGAAGTGATGATAGAGGACAGACAGATGAGAGGAGGTTCATAAACTGAATCTATAGAAGTAGGGACAGACTCATAGACTGAGAAAAGTTTGAGTCTAGAATATGCTGAGCACATTTGGAATTGTGATATCACATCCCAAACAGAAGCACTGAGACAGTGGAAATGGGGTATGAGTTAATTATGTGGTATCCCTGAAATTTTCTCTGCAAAACTCAGGGATTATAGTTAAAACCAAAGAGAATGCAAAAGGTTGCCTAGGAAGACTACTAAATGGGAGCACAAAATAAAACACTCAATAAAATCTCATTTTGAATGTACAAGTTTTATTAAAGAGTTTAGAATTTTAAAAAGTTTGCCAAGTTAATTGAAAAAAAAGTAGCCAGAACATTAAGGAATGTATCAGAAAGAGAGATAACAAAGTATCACCACACAGTATGGCCTCACTAAAGCACAGATTAAGATGCCTGGATGAAAGGAAAGAAGGATGGATGATTGGAATGATAGATGGATATAATAGGTTTATAATAATGAAAAAGACATGCAAAAATAGAGGGAAACATTTTATGATCATCCAGCTTCCTAACTTCGTTGTCCTGTCTTCAACATACACATTTTACTGGAGGAGAACAAGTTACACACAACCTTTAAATAGCATTGATTTTAATGGTTCCGTATGGACCATATTTTATGTCTAAAATTATCTTCATTTATTTCACAATATTGAGTTGTACTGTAGCGTTAGGCTTAATGAAATATAACTCTGGAAATATTTCAAGACCCTACAGAATGACTTACTTCACTTTGATGTATTTCTTTTGGCTTACCTATATTTAACCCTATCTCACTGTCTTATAAATAGCAATAGGTGAATCTATCTCCTTCAGAAAAGAAGCTTACAGTGTAAGAATAGAGATCTTCGTCATCTAATTTGTTTCTATGTGGAAAGCACACATGAAGTATGTAGGGAGTATTTGGAAAATAGCTTTTTGACAATTTTAAAGAAAAGCATTACTGTTATCCTAATGTTTGTGTCCTCACAAAGTTCTTTTGTCCATATAATTATTTCTTCCTTAAGTTTTCCATGAGAAGTCATGCTGAGAAATATTTTTTCCATCCTTGTATTTTAAATTTTTAGTATACTTCTACATTTTACTATGATTTATTTTTATGTTTTAAGTCTTTTGAACTGAGATTTGAGATAAGGATTAATTTTATAGTTTGGATTAACTACCTCTAGAAATGACTCACAAATTTCATCATTATTTTAGTCATCTGAAATACAAACTTCAACCTATATGTTCAAATTTGTTGCTTATAATTTGTCCTATGTTGATTTTCTTTTATTATTCACAAAATATTATAGTGGTTTTAAAATTGTATTTCATATTGACTGCTTAAATCTCACACTATTAATTTAGTGTAACTTTTGACACATGAGACATGAATCTAAAAACAATAAAACATT